GGGGTAGTGGTTGTATCAGTGGCGCCATAAAAAAAAACAGCGGATCCAGTGATATAGTGGACGCAATGGACGGTTATGTTAAAGAGTTGCCGTTATTGTGCAGGCGACGGCCATGCCGATGGTGATGCTGTTGATGACGACTTTCCCCAGGGTGATAAGTGTGAAGCCGGGGCGGTGGGGCACGCAATTGTACATGCGAGGGTGGGTGCAGAAAGCCGGCGTCATACACTGGACCCCCCCGCGTGCTCCGTGCGTCTTGCATGCCTATGAACCGAGCCCGCCTGCCCTACCAGAAGGTTCTTGCTAAAACCGGACGCAGGGAGGAGTCATGAGGGATGGCGGGGGGTTCCTTTGCACTGCTGGGCGCGCCGGCTCCCTGGATGACGAGCGGTCCGCGGGCCTGCCACTCGGGCGAGGCCCCGTGTCATTTCAAGGATCCGCCGGCCATCCATCCAGCTAAAAGGAGCGCGCAGAGGCGGGATCATCACGTCCGCGGAAGTGTCCAGCGATAGTCCTAAAAAGCATTCAGCCTTCCACCTGGCAGGTCGGGCGGAATCTCAATTCGTTCGCCATGAACGTTGCAGAGATCCTGTTTCAAAAGCAATCAGCCTTCCCCCTGGCAGGTCGGGCGAAATCTCAACTCGTTCGCCATGAACGTTGCAAAAAATTCTCCAGCGAGAGCCCCATGTCGGAAAAGGAACCGCCTCCATCGGTGTTTTTGCACAAGTTCGACATCCGGGAAATAGAACTTGAGGAGGTGTCAAGCGACACCCGAATTTTGACAACGAAACGACGTCAATCCTTCCAATTGTTGGAGGCTGTAGTCCCAGGCGTAATCGTGGCAAGACGCCCAAGTACGGAACGCCCGAGGCGTCCCGGCTGTCCAGCCTTCAGGAGATGACTTCCACCTGGTCTGGCGAGGCGGCGGGCTCCGGGCTGGGGGCGGGGGCGCCAGTCACGCCCGCGTCTCCGCAGGCGTCTGCTCGCGCTTCAGGTCGCCTTTTCGTCTGGCGGATGCCTGGGATGACGACCTCTGCCGCCTCCTCCTGCTCTGCCGCCTCCTCCTGCTCCGCAGCCGCTTTGGCTCAAGATGACTTCGTCCCGTGGCAGAGCGGGGACCCCTAGTCCGGGGACACCACAGGACATGATTTTGCCTCGCCGTGCCTTCGGTGGTTGCCTCCGTATCTACATTTCACGCGCGATTGTCTGCCGAGGCTGGGGCGCGCTTCTTCTCAGAGTGGACTCAGAATGGGATCGACCGACGCGGGCATGGGATCGTTCGAAGCGGGCAAGCGCACCCATATGACAGCTGGTTGAGGTAAGGCGGCAGAGGCCTGGATCCATGGGCAGAGTCAGTTGCCAAGCTGGCAGTCGCTGACCTGCCCACTAACATTCACAAGCAAGTCGAGCAGGCCCTGGAGTCCCAAACCGCAGGGGCGGCCACCAAATTCGAGGCCACAGCCAAAACAGTCACTGACGAAACCCGCTCCTTCTGGCGACTGCCACCGCCATCACCGCCGAGTTGTCTGCACACAACGAGCGAGCTGAGCGATATGCTTCCGACATCCAGCACCGTATGGACGAGTCCGAGCGGATCAGTGCCGAGCTCAAGCAGTCCGTGGCCAACGTCCAGCACGTCGTGGATACCGCTGAGGCTTGGGCGCCCGCCCTGGACATCGCGAACATCGGCGGCAGGGGCCGCGACCCCGATCCAGTCACCTTCTGGTGTGGATGTGCGTCAGCCTTCTCTGAAGCAGAGCTACGTCCTGCCCGCGCAGATTGGTTTCGAGCTGCAGACGTGGATTTCGCGCGCGTGGCCTTCACGGCTGGGCATGCCGAGCGCCATTCCTTTCAAATCAGTGATTGCGCAGTGATGGTGGGGCTTCGTGTCAAGCGACTTCATGAAGCTCTTCGAGTCGGTCGTGATTGGCGCGATTTTGCCATTGTTGTGGCGGTCGCTGGGGATTGGCGGGCCCCCCCTGCTCGGGTTCCTCGATACGTGCCGGCGGACAGCAGCCCCAAGATGGTCGGTCAACCGTGAATTTCAGACCAAGCGCCTCTACACAAGTTCCCCTTTTTCGTTGGCCTGCGCATCCACCGTACACGTGGCTGCATTGCGAGCAGATGGGGCCACTGGTGAAGATCTCGGCCAGCCGTATTCTCGACGCCACCAGCCGCGCTCGCCGGGCAGTTGCGGCCGTTGCTCGAGGCTTCACTCCAGAGACGCGCAGAAAGCCGTCGGCGCCGAGTCCGCAGCATCCTTCGCAGGCGCGTTCGCAGCAGCGCAGTGGCTTTGGCGCGAGATGGCCAAAATGGTTAACCAAATATGATCCAGAAGGGCCCAGCGTCGCGATCTGGAACGCGCAGGCGCCATCGGGGGCCTCGCGCAGCCGTCGACAAGATAAACGCCACCAGATCCTTCCTCTCTCGCGTCAGCGGGCGGTCCTTGCTCTGCGCGAAACGCGCGGCAGCGTCGGCGACCTCGCCCTCCTCGCCAACTCCTGTCGCATGTCGAGAAATCCGAGGGTTCCCGCGCGAGGAGCGCGCCGTCTCCGTCGGTGAAGGCGGGGCCGACGGCTTCGACATCGCGCCCCCGGCGGCCTCTCTGGGGGCACGGCTTTGGACATCGCAAACGAAATATGAGCATCTACCCCGCCACTGCGGGCGGCGCTGGCCCCCTGGTGACCGTCGACGAGGCAGAGCTGAGCCGCCCGCCTGGAGAGCGCTGCCATTGGCGCGTCGAAGTCGCCGTCCCGGGGCGGGCGGCGCGGCTCGGAGTCGCGGGGGTTCGCCGGCGGCACGGCGCCGCCATCCTGAATTTCACCACTTTGGCCACGGCGCGCTGAACGTGGCGGTGCCCAGGATCGACGGGCGCTTCATCTTTTTACCCAGCCGCTCCGAGGCCGATGACGGGGGCGATTCTGATCGCCGGCGATGCCCCGCTAGAAGGCCCCGAAAGGATGGGCGGCGACCGCGAGATCATGCATCTTCGCGTTCGCCCACGCCGCGCCCGCCCACCGAGTGAACGAGGACGCCTGCCTCCATCTTCGACTGGCCGCGCTTGCCGCGCCGCGTCGGCCGCGTGATCAGCGACGCGAACATGGGCCCCATCAGTGCGACAGTCGCCGCGCGGCGGCCCCCCGAAGCCATCGTGCGCGAGGCCAAAAAAGACAGCCAGGGGCGCCGCGATGCGCGCCCCGGCCGCCGAGCTGCCCAGCCAGTCCCCAGACTTGCCCGAGGGGGGAAGTTCGCGCCATGTCGCTAGGGGACTCGCGCGAGCCGCCCGGCACCAGGACTCCGCGCTGGCGCAGACCTTCGCTTTCAGCACTGGCGTCGCCGCTCAATGCCCGCGGCGCGCCGGCGACAGGGGCGAGCCGATTTGGCACCGGCGCTTTCGGGCTTGAGATGGACTCCGCGCGCGCCGCCCCCAGCGACTCCGCGCGCGCCGCCCCCAGCGACTAGCGGGGGGCCCCGGCGGCCGCCCCCCCCCCCCCCCCCCCAAGCTGCCTGCGCTGCGAACGTCTGCGAACAACGTGCATCTCGGCGACGAGAGTTGCCGGCGCTCAGGGCAGTCAGGCTGCACGCAGGTCGCGGGGCTGATCTGAGAGCCGTTGTCCGAACGTCTCATCTTCGTGGGCGTCGAGATCCTGGTTGGCACGGCAACCGCGACAGGCCGTGATCCAGCCGCGATGCACGACGCGACCACGGACCATTGGCATCCAATCCACGCCGCCACGCATGTGGACGACGACGTGATCATTGATTTCCTGGACAGGGTCTCCCCGCAGCGAAGCGTACTGGCGCTGATCATTCCAGATTCAGCCAGCCTGGAGCAAGCTGCCCGATGCGCTGGAGACTCCGACCCTGGACCCAGCGGGCTACCAGACCGAGCGCGGCTGCGCGCTCCGACCCGCTTTCATGCGCTGGCCGAGCGATGCCGCAATATCGCCAGTATCGCATCTTCCCCATGCGATCCCAACCTCCCCCCGATGGGGATGCCCCCCCCCCCGAGGTGGTGAACCGCCAGGCAACGCAGAGTGCGCTCGCGCCCCAGATGGCCTTCGCCTGTCATCAAGGACGGACGCCGACGCGAAGCTCATCGACTCCGCGGCCAACGGAGCGCCGCATCCAGCAGCCGCCCAGACCTCACCAGAGCTCCAGGAGTTCGTCAACGGCCACCAGTCCCCGCGAAATGTCGCGACGGTCGACGCCGAAGTCCGTCGCCTCGGCACGCTGCAGGACGCCGCCACCGACGCGCCGTCCTCGTCAGCACGGACATCGCAGCTGCCTCCCCAAGCGTTGTCCACCATCGAATGTGGGCGTTCCTCGCGCGCCAGGGCTTCTGTGGCGACTTCGTGGCGTTGCTCCAGCCTGCTACCTCGCGCCGCTGACCTACCTGGAGCTGCGCGGCGCGCGAAGCCCGCCGCTCGTCGCGGCGTCGGGCGCCGCGCAGGGCTGGCCGCTCAGCGGCGCCACCTGGGCGCTCGCCTTCGACTCCATCGCGCGGGCCGCCCACTCAGAGCACCGGCATTTTCGCCGCGGGCTCGTCTGCGCCAGCGCAGACGACCAGGGCGTCATCCTTGCCGAGATTCACGGCGCTTCGAAGCTGGCCCCGCGCCCCGTCGCCGCCGACGCGCTGGAGGGCCTCGCGCCCCAGGCAAGTGCATCATCGCGCCGACCTGGTCCTTTGGCATTTGCGCGCCAGCCTTGGAAGGACTTCGAGATCGAGCCCATGGCGCGCTACCTCAGTTTCCGCGTGGGCCCTGGCGCTTCTGTCGCCGCGCAGCGGACGGGGGCCCTCCACCAAGTGGCGGGGCCGCGCCGAGAAGCTCGCCATGCCGCCCGCGCCCTTGCAGCATTGTATCAAGTTGCGCAACGTCGGCGGTCGCAGGCCTTGCCTACGTCGGCAAGCCTGTCGAGCGCACCTCCATTGCCCCCCAGAAGGAGCAGCAGGCCGTCCACGACCTGCGCCGAACAGCCCCGCCAAGTCTGATGCGCAGGCGACGTCGCTCTGGACCGACGGCGAGACGCCACGCGGCATAGAGACCCTCGCGGCAGCGACAGCGTGGGAAACGGCGACTGCGACGGCCAAGGGCTGGCTCGGCGCGCGCGGGACCCCCTCGGGCACGGCCTTCAGTGAGCTGAGCGTGACTGCGGCCGCGGCGGGGCGCTGGTGCGCCGCGTGTTGGACCGACCCCGTCACGCAATAATTCTGTGATTCGAGCCCGCGTCGTTCTTCGCACTGCTCATAAGATGGCGACTCGCTAAGGCGCGGACGGCCCTTCTGGCCCACGCTGAACAGGGCCCCAGCAGCCCTCAGGGAACGTGATTTTGGACGTCGCAAGACGGTGCTCCCGCCCCAGAGGTCGCACCTGTCTGCTGCGTCTATAGGGGCCCGCCTCTAGAACGACACCATGCCGCAGACCATCAGGCGCAGGATGATTGCATGGACCCCACAGCTCGACCCCGATATGCAGCTCGCGCGCCATCAGCCAGGCCATGATCTCACCGTCTCCCTGGAAGACTCCACCGGACCCGACCTGGTCGCCACAAACGAGCTCCCGAACGACCTGGAGCAGCGATTGCCACAGCTCCGTGCCCATCTGGCAGCAGTGCTTCAATCGCTGCCCTGGGCCACGATGAAGACCGCCGGGGCATGGACGACGTCGTTCAGGATGCGGCCCGAACGACGAGACCGGCCACTACTTACCCGCAGATGATCCACCACTTTGGCCTCCCGAGGGGCCAGCTGAGCAGGTCGGTGCTCACGCGATTGGCCCTCCCGCCCATAGGCAGCGCCTACGACGGCGAGAACGGGATCGCGAGCTCCGAAGCGAGGATGACGGTGACTTGCCGCTTTCTCCATTTCAGCAAGAACGAGGCCGCGAAGGGCCCGCTGGCGGACGTCAGGGCTGTCCGCGGCGCCGCCGCAGCCAGATTCGCTCTGGGACTCCTGCCCGACCCCGCGGGTGGCGCGGGGCAGCGTCGCCGTCTTCCTTCCGCTCCTGTGCATCGTGCTACGGTTGAGGGAAGCAATTAAGCAACACTCCCCCCTTCCCCCGCAATTCAAAGTTGACAGGTTCTCGCAAGACCGCTCGGAGGCCCCAAATCGGAAGATCCGAAGCCAACATTGCATGTGGGGGAGGGGGAGGTTCAAACCATATGTTCTGCATGAGTGTTGCTTAATTGTTTCCGGCACCTGTAACACGCGCGATGCGCGCTCGGTTCCGCTTTCGGTGCTGCCCGCCTTCCGCCGCGGCAGCCGCTCGAGTGCGCAGACGCACGCTGGCCGCTAGAGGCTGACGTTGGCGCCCCCCCCGTGGCGACGCCTCCTCCTCCTCCTCCTCCTCCTCCTCCTCCTCCTCCTCCTCCTCCTCCAGGCCGCCACCTTCTCCTGCCTCGCCCCTTCCGCCCCTCGGCCTCTGTCGCCTCCCCCGGGGCTGCCTGAGGGCCCCCCCTTTGGGGTCCCGCCTTGCCGACTCCTCTCGGCCTCCAGGCCGCGTTCCTTTCGCCTGGTTGGTCGCCTCCTCCTCCTCTTCCTCCTCCTCCTCCTCCTCCTCCTCCTCCTCCTCCCTGCCGCCAGGCCAGGCCCGAAGCCCGCGTCCGCGCGGCAAGCCGCCCCCCCCCCCCTTCGCCGCCGTCGCGGCGGCGCCAAGGCGAAGGCCGCAGTTCCAAAGCCACTGCCCTTCCAGACGCGTATCTATTTTTGATCTGTTGGTGCGTGCCCGGCGGTCGGGCGATATCCCCATTTCGAAAAAGGAGCCACCTTTTCTCCGCACAACTGCTGCACAAGTTTGACTTTTGGGTCATGAGATTCGACATGCTCCCTAGCGGTCGCCGCGTGTCGAAAACGAACCGATTTTCGTTTTTGGAGCAGTGGAGTATGTCTATAAAACGAATGCGCGCGGCGAAAAGGCGAGAACCGCATTTTGAAAATCGCCTGCCTCCATCCATGCAGCTGTGAGGGACTGTTAGAACGAATGTGCGCAGCGTCGATGCGAAAATGGAATTTTGGAAAGTTTGAAAGCGAATGTGCGCGGAGTCCACGCGAGCGCAGCATTTTGAAAACTACCGGCCCTCCATCTTGTTGGAGGGAAACATAAACAACGTTTCCTTCTTCCCGCAGTTCAAAGTTGGCACATGTATGCACTTTCGCTTGGACACTCAAATTCGGAATATCCGAAGCCAACATTGCATGCGGGGAGAGGGAGGGAAGTTCAAACCATTTCTGCGTGCGAGTTCCTCAATTGTTTCCGATACCTGTCTGATAGTTGTTGGGGCTTTTGCTTAGCGAAAGTCTCAAGCGGACCCCCCAGCCAGGCCTATGGTCACATTTGGTGGTGCCACAGGGAGGCGTTATCTATAAGGAATGAGGGGCTTATTCCGAAACAGGGGGGGATGAGAGGCGATAGAGGACGCAGGATGAGGAGGAGGTCATGTCGAGGGAGGAGGAAGAGGCGGAGGTGGGAGGTGGAAGGATAGGGAGGAATTCATGTCGACACCCCAGTCGCTAACGGCCCTTCGTTTCACAATCATTTCGAGAATAGTCTACTGACAGCAGCAGGAAAGATTGTATTCTACAAAAGATGGCGGGGGGGACGTCATGGCGCCGCGCCCTCATCAATCCCCCTCATCGTCCTCGCCCCACTCCTGCTGCTCCTCCACATTTTTGTCTCTTCCTGCCTCCCTGATTCCTCAGTGTCCCGCTCCTCCTCCCTTTGTCATTAGACCCATCAACCTCCTCCACCTCCTCCTCCTCCTCCTCCCCTTCCTTTTGCTGCTGCGCACGTCCCTGGTGGGCATCCCTGATCCGCCGCGCCGATCGCAGCACGCACCGCGCTCGAGCGCGCAGCTAGGCGCGGGGGTGTCGGCCTACGCCGGAGCCCGACTGAGGGCTGTAGCCCTGTTCGCGCCCCGTCGCGGGGCCGCAAGGCCGCTAGGCTGGTCAGGCCCCCCCCCTCCCCAAGGAAGGGACAGGGAGGGCGAGGCGAGCACGGTAGGGAGGGTGAAAAGGATCTCAGTACTTAGCCGGCCCAGAGCCGTAGACCCCACAGGGTCTGGGGGGGCTCGCTTTCACTAGGTTTTCGAGCTGTAGTTGTTGCCGGTGGCCTGGCTGCCGCAGCTCGCGTTGGCGTAGGCGGTGGTCCAGAGGTAGTCGTGGTCCGTAGCCTGCTGGCTTCAGACATGCCAGTCGCGCTTATTGGGGCATTCGTCGGGAACGCTAGGCGGTGTCTTCAAAAGAGGCGGGAGTCGTATTGTTTGTGTGTGTGTGTGTGTTTGTGTGTGTGTGTGTGTCCAGCTTCAGGCTGGCTGGCCGCGCCGTAATCGTGAGGTGCCACACGAATATCATGAGGTAGCTTCCGTAGGGCCGTAAGCAGGCCTCGTTTACGGCGGTGCGCAATGGCGACGCGCCGTCGGTACTCGTCATATGTATGAGATGCGGCCCGCCTCTTAGACGTCCTCTGTGGTGCGGATCCGCAGCTGGAGTTCTCTGGCCCATGTGTCCTGGCAGGTGGCTGCGATCCCTCTCACTATCGCGGCCTCCACATTACTGCGTGGATCGCGTGGTAGAAATTCTTCTGATGGCCGTCGTAGCTCCGCTGGTCGCCCCCGGAGCTCTGCCGGTGGCCCTCGCAGCGCTGCCGGTGGCCCTCGCAGCTCAGCTGGTCGCCCTGGTAGCTCAGCTGGTGTTCCTCGTGGCCCTGCTTGTGGATCTCGTAGCTCTGCTGGTAGCCCACGCAGCTCAGCTTGTGGCCCTCGCAGCTCAGCCCGGGCAGCTCTGGCGGTGGCACTCGTAGTTCAGCCGGTGGCCCTCGGCGCTCTGCTGGAGACTCTCAGGGCTCTGCTGGTGGCCCTCGAAGAGGAGCGGGTGGCCCTCGCAGTTCTGCTGGTGGCACCGGTGGCTCAGCTGGTGGCCCTCGAAGCTTCCCTGGGGAGTCCGTGCAGCTCGGCTCGCGGTCCTCGCAGCTCGGCAGGCGGCCCTCGTAGCTCTGCCGGTGGCTCTCCAAGGTCTGCTGGTGGCCCGGGCAGCTCTGCCGAGGGACCGCGTGGCTCTGCCGGCGGCCCCCGAAGCGCAGCGGGCGGTCCTCGGTCCTCGTAGTTCCGCTGGTGGCCCCGGAGGCTCAGCTGGTGGCTGTAGGAGCTCCACCGGGTGCAAGTCTAGTTCAGCTCGTGGTGCCCGCAGTTCGGCAGATTCCTCTCGAAGCTCAGCTGGTGGCCCTCGAAGGTCTGCTTGTTGCCCGTGCAGCTCTGCTCGTGGCCCTCGTAGCTCAGCAGGTGGCCCGCGTGGCTCCGCTGGAGGCTCTCGGAGGTCTGCTGGCCCTTGCAGCTCTGGTTATGGCCATCGAAGTTGCGCTGGTGGTCCTCGTAGCTCTGCTCGTTGCCGTCGAGGCTCTTCTTCTGGCTGTCGTAACACTGCGGGTGGCCTGAGTAGTTTTGCCGGTGGCCCTCGAGGCTTTGCTGGGGGCTCTCGGAGATCTGCTTGCGGCCCGTGTGGCTCAGCTCATGGCCCTTGAAGCTCTGCTGGTGGCTCTCCTGGCTGCTCTGGTAGTCCTCGAAGCTGTGATCGTTGCCCTCGATGCTCTGCTGGTTGCCCTCGAGGCGCTGTTGGTGGCCATACGCCTGGAACCAGCAAGCCAAGCGTGAATTCAGGCATGTCGCACGTGTCGCCGAACTCGTCGCTGCCGTAGTTGTCATACTCGCAGCAGCCGTTGCCGTCGTACTCGTAGGCGCCGTGCCCGTAGGTGGGCTTCTGCAGCTGCACGGCGGTGTACTGGTGGTGGTGCTGCTGCAGCGGGACCGCCACGCCGATGTAATGTATCTGCTGATCTCTCGGCGCAAGGTGCTCGCGTATAGCACCTCTGCCGTGCATGCTCTCGTACAGTACGTCTTCCCTCGTCTCCCTCGCGTACTCTCGTATAACACATGCTCCTTGCCCGTCGTACCTGGTGTCGTACTGATCGTATCCGTTGCTGTACTTGCTGTCGTGCCGTCGTACTTCTGAAGAACAGTGGTGGTAACGATCATTGAGACTTTGGGATTTGGCTGCCGTCCATGTGTGACGAACTATCCCATTCGTTTCAGAGCCGATTCCGCTCTAGGTCTCGACACTGTTGCCAGTGACTCCACGTAGTGGGTAATCCACGCGCAGTGAGTAATACAGTGGGTATCCTCTTCCTATTCCTTCTCTTCCTCCTTCTCCTCATGAATA